TGATGTAGTATTTAAATATGTAATTTTTATTTTTTAATTTTACACCATTTGTCATATAAAATGATTTGAGAATCGATTTCAGTCAAATATCGTAAACCGAAGCAGACAATATAAATTGGGACGGAAGAAGTATTATTTTTTATTTATATACCAATCTTTAAATAAAATGAATTGAAAACACTTAAAATTTTACTTCGTTTTGCATAAAGTGAAGATAATTATGACACGGAAGAAGTATGTATTACTATTATTAAACTAATTACGGAGTAATAATGTACTCCTTCCGTCCTAAAACTTTTTTCCCGTTGCACAAAACGAAGAAAAATCCCAAGTTTTTTCAATCTATTTTATTTAAATATTGGTATAGAAATAAAAAAAATAAAACATACATATTTAAAAACTACATCAAAAGTTCAACAAAACAAACGGTGACAAGAATATTTTATTTTATCATATAGGGATTATAGGACACAAATAAATATAAATTCCTGTGAAGTTGGAATAGTACTCTGGGAAGAAAGTTTTAGGACGGAGGGAGTAGCCTATATATTACCGTACATTTTTGTTTTTTTAGTTTTTCATTAACTATTTAAATAATTGTTTGAGAGTAAACTCATTTTTCTTTGTCATTTGACAATGCGAGTATTCATACGAAGTATTACTATGGCCTCCGCGGATGGGCGTTGTGCTGTTGTCAAAGGCAAGAAGCGCCATGAGAGTAAGACTCGATTTCGATTCTTAACAACTATGTTGGGAGGCAGATATGTTAAGCATATAATATCTGCATATACCAGGTGCAAGCTCTACTCGTTATCACCAATTTATAATTAAAATCTAATTTATCCTCTCTCAGTGACTGTCCAAACGGGCATGAGAAAACCATCTTTTTATTATAAATAACTGTTTCTGGGCCACAACCACAAGCTTGAGCTTTTGGTTGAATCGGTTTCCTTGATATGGTATCAGAACCTCGTTGACTAGGAGATCACGAGTTCGAAACTCAGCGCCACCCAATTAAAAAAATTAAGGTTTCACGTGCAAGGCTCGAAAAAGACTACGTCTGCACATGAGGGGGGCGTGTTAGAATATATTCCGTAAATAACTCTTCCCAGCCACAGATTTTGGTTCAATCGGTTACTTCACACCTACCATCACACTTTTTGGATCGGCCACTAAGTTATTTTCTTACTTTTGGGAACACCGATTAGAATGGCTTTCGTGGAAGTGTCCTTGGCCATGGCCCATGGGCCAAGCATGGGCTGCTGATGGTATTGTTGAAGTGGGATTGGAGGCTTCTGGTTAGGGATGACGTCTGTGCTTACGTAGGGAGAGTGGTAAACTCGCACTTGCATTTCTGCAACCCCTGTGGACCCACTGCTCCACAGTCCTCCCATTTAATTGCAATAAAATACTCCCTTCCTCCACTAATAAACTTTACATTACACGTTACGTTGTTTGACTGAAGTTATTTTCAAATCGTTTTATATGAAAAAAAGTGTAGAATTGAAAAACAAAAATTACATATTAAAAAACTATATCCAAAGATCTACAAAACTAGAGGTGACATGACTATATTATTTTATCAAATGGGTGACGAAAATAGGCCAACAAAATGAATAAAGTTTGACCCTGTGAATAGTGAAGGTAAAGTTTATTTGTGGACGGAGGGAGTACGAAATTCTCCCTCTATCCACCTAAGATATTCTCATTACGCGTTACAAGACTTGACTGATTTTATTTTCAATTCAATTGAATTGATTTTAGGAGTAAGTTTTTAAAATAAAATTTATGTAGTAATAAACTACATAAATATTCTACAAAATTAGCGGTGACAAGACTATATTATTTTGCGAAATGACCAGTAAAAATGAGCAAACAAAGTGAATAAAGTTTAACCAAATAGTGTCTGGGAAAATCTATGGTGGACAGAGGGATAATTATGATAGATGAGATAAATGAACTTTAAATCATAAACTAACTCATAAATAAAATACTTTCTTAGTTCCGTTCTTAGTTGACGGTAATCAAATTTTGATTAACTATATATAAGAATATACTCCGTATAATAAATTTAAAAATAAAATTAAATTAAATATTTAGTATAAAAAAATACTATAAATGTATTATTTTGAATTTTTTTTCCAATGTATTTTAAGAGATATTTTTAGTCAAACTTTAAGTTTTAAAAACGAATCAGATAGTTAAATAAGAATGAAATTAAGAATTAGCCTATATCTGATATTTGTAGAGGTCTTATACTTAATGCACTTGTCTTCTACGATAATTCTCAGAAATCAAACTCGAGTGTTATTTTCTTTGACATACATTGCCGAATAAACTGTGCCAAGTTCCTCTTGCGGAATATTATGATCATCTCAAACTCTATTTGCAACGCTTAATAATAAAAAGGAAAAATTATCCAGAATAATCCCAACTTTAAATGATTTTTCAGAAATAATCTCACATTTCATTGCGATAATCTCGACTTTACTAAAATTTGCCAATTTGGGTCATTGTTAAGTTACTAACGACGAGTTAACGAAAACTGACTACTTTGCACAACATAATAAAAGTTGAGATTATTTTCAATGAATTTTAATTTTTTAGTTTTTTTTTTTTGAAATTTTAATTTAAAAGTTTAAAATTACTTACCACCTCCAAATTTTCTATTTTTTAAAAGATTAGTCAAACTTTAGATAAAAATAAAAAAATAGATATTAAAAATAAAAAAATTAGAAAAATAACTATAATCATACAAAATTAATGAGAAAACGTAATCAATAGAAATTATCATGAAACTGATAAGGAATAAAATAAAAATATATATAGTGGTAGTTTTTAACATTCCAAGCACTATACAGAGCATTGATGTACTACTTCTTCTTATTTTTAGTAAGTAGTAAATTAATACTTTGTATATTGCGTAAAATTTGGGTCTCTGCAAGTATCTGGGTATAGATTATATTCTTTGCCAACAATCTTTGATCAAAATTTAATTTATCTTTTTTCTCAATGACCGTTCGGCCGTGTCTGAGAGACTTTCATAAATGAGGCTCATCATTTTTATAAAGTGTAAAAACATGGGGAATTTACCTAAATACTATTTAAACATAGTGACTTTTCGATGTAGTACCGTATGTTTTTATTTCTCGATGTTCAAGTAAATGTCAATCATCACTGGACATTATTAAAACCAAATTTCCATCATCACTGGATATTGTTCTCGATACTAGACATTATTCAAGTTTTATTTATGGAATAAAAATGTTTAAATACTACATTGAGAAATAACTTATGTTTAGTACTCTCTCCGTCCCAAAAAGTCCGACATGTTTCGAAAAAACTGCGTCCCGTAAAGTCCGTTACATTTCTATTAAAAAGTCACTTTTACCCCTTATTTTTTCATACCCTACCTATCACATCATACCTTTTTCCTAATAATCTACCCATCACATCCTACTTTTATCCATCATATCAAGGGTATTTTTGGAAAGTTAACACCAAAATATCCCTCCCTTTATTTTTCAAAAAGTCAATATCTACCAATCTTTTTTGAGACGGATGGAATATTATTTAGTGCAAATTTTACTAAAGACATTGACGTCAGAGTTTTATTTTGTCTCTTTGTCTTTTGATCGTAGATTTGTGAATCATGTGGCTCGGTTGTTGGCTCGAGTTTTCGGTTCTGTGTCTGATCCTTTGGAGTGGGAAGCTATCCATCATACGTTTATTTGTGATACTATGCTGATGGAATTGAGAAATACTCCCTCCGTCCCCCAGTTTTTATCCACTTTCATTTTTGTACACCATTCAATGCATTTCTTTAATTCATTTTATCTTGTAATTTGTATATTAAAAAATTATAGAAATTATATATTAATAATCTATATATTAAGACAAATCAAACAAGATCACACATGACTATATTTAGGCTTACACATTGAGAGAATTTCATGAGTCAAAGTGCTTCGATGAACAGTTCCAAAAGTCAAAAGTGGACAAAAACTGGGGGACGGAGGGAGTAATAATAATATTTCACTGATTTTCAAAAAAAAGTGTAAAAACATGTTTTGATATAACATTTAATTTGTACACAATTTTTCACGGGGTGTGAACAAATCTTGCCCCAATTAGCCAATCAAGAAAACCAATAGTTAAATCTCTATTTCAAAGTAATAAATTAAATAATGATTGATTATTAAAACTTTAATTTTTTTTATATATCCCATGTAAAACGTGAAAGATGTAACTAGCTACTAACTAAAATACACGTATTTCATATTTTAAAAAGGGCCTTCAATTTTTTGATACAAAAGTATAACTTATATACTCCGTAATATCTAATACTCCGTAAGTTGTTCAAACATGGGTAGTTTAGTTGATGTAATTAACTGATGAGGATGTTAAGCTAAAAGATCCTAATATTGAACCATACACGGTAGCCGTAGTACGAGAGATCTATTTCTTTGTAATATTTTTTGTGCGTCCCGGACACGAGCGATCTCTCTAAATCATGATTTAACCCTCCGGACAGTTCTATCGGCGGGATGTGGGGCGCATGAGATGGACGTTCCACCTTCTTTTACAATTGGAATCGCAATCGGCCAGAAACACATTTGGTTTACTTATTTTTAATTCTTAATATCAATTTAATTTTGTTTTAAGTTACGCTGGCTCTCAAATAAAAATAATAGAAACACAACATATAGAGTAAAATTTTAACAAAAAATAAAATGAAATGAAACCACGATGTAACGGGTCAAAACCTCCCAATAAGGTTGTGTTTACCGACTTGCCCTTTCCAAAACTGGAACTGTTGGCTCGGAATCAAAAACTGATGTCCCTCTCACCCTCTCCTAAATGATGGTTTACTATACATTCTTAGAACAAAGTGATTAATTATAGAAACCAAAACACAAATTAGTTTTTTCTTCATTCATATATAGTGTACTGTGTCTAGTTCTATATAAATAATGAAATATTTGTACTAAATAGCACTAAAGATAATATATGGAAAATTCACCTAAAGCATAAAGATAATAATTTTTCAATATAAGAGAATAGAATCATTGGTCATTATTAATACTTTAAATATCCCTCCCATGCATTATATACTCCCAACGTAGCATTATTAAATCACAACAATCATCTCATCCTCATCTTCTCCCATTTCCATCTTCATTCTTTTTAGTTTCGCCGGGTGGCAATTTTGCAATTACTCGTAATAATATGGTGCCGCCACCGCCGCCGCCTCACGTGCTGATCGTGACCTTTCCGGCGCAAGGCCACATCAACCCTTCTCTCCGGTTCGCCAAACGCCTCCTAAGCCTGGGCGTCCACGTCACCCTCGCCACCAGCGTCTACGCCCACCGCCTAATCCTCAAGGCCAACGGCGCCGGCGTCCCACGCGCCGCCGGCTTCAACTTCGCCCCTTTCTCCGACGGGTACGACCAAGGCTTCAGGAAGGACCGCGGCGACGACTTCGTGAGCTACATGTCGGGGCTCAAGGCCCGCGGGTCCCTGGCGGTGAGAGACATCATCTCCGCATGCGCCGCCGACGGCCGCCCCGTCACGGCGGTCGTCCGTACCATCCTGCTTCCCTGGGTCGCCGACGTGGCGCGTGACGTGGAACTGACCTCCTCCCTGCTGTGGATTCAGCCCGCCGCCGTGTTGGGCTTGTACTACTACTTCTTCCACGGGCACGAGGACGTCTTCGAGAAGGAGGCGGTGGAGCTGCCGGGGCTGCCGCGCCTCGAAAGCCGGGACTTGCCGTCGTTCCTGCAGCCATCCGGCTCGGAGGGAGATTACAGTTTTGCCCTTGCGGGATTCAGGGAGGAGATGGAGATGCTTGACCGTGAACTCGAAACCGGTCAACGGCCGACGGTGCTGGTCAACACCTTCGACGCCTTAGAGGCGGGGACACTCAACACGGCCGACATCAGGTAACATATGGCCGGGATTCATAATAGTTGGGTTTGAGTTCGATCGGTTAGTTAAACATTTAATCATACACCTAAATACAAATTATATCATAAATTAATTAGATAAAAAATACTCTCTGCCTTCTTTGAATATTTGTCACATTCGTATTCACAAGATGAAATATCAAGTTTTTTCAACTCATTTTATTTACATATTGGTATAGAAATAAAAAATAAAATTTACATATCAAAAAATAACATGAAATTTTTTTTGAAATAAAATGTGTCAATAATATTTTATTTTATCAAATAATCAATGAAAACGTAGAAATAAATAAAAGTTCTCGCGACTGCTGAAAAGGCCTGACAAATATTTTGGGACGAAGGAAATATATTTTTAATATATTTTATAAAATAAAGCTATCAAAATATTATTTTATCAATATTTAGTAGGGAGTATAAACTCAATTAAATTATATAACACTCCCTAATTAAATGATACTCCCTTGTCCCTCCTTCACGCAAAAACAACTTGTTTTCATTTTTTGTTAAACTTGGACATTCTTTATTTACAGATTTTAAATAAATAAATCACACAAATATTTAATATATCAAAACTATATTTTAAGTTAAATTTAAATATATTGAATTTATACTCCCTCCGTTTGGAAAAACACTTCTCATTTGGATTTGGGGCAAAAATAAGGAAGTGTTAAATTATAGTTGATTTCCAATTTTGCCCCTGATGTGATGGGTAAATGTAAGATGTGATGAATAAATTATTAGAGAAAAAGTATGATGTGATAGGTAGGGTATGTAAAAGTAAGGGTAAAAGTGGTTTTTTAATGGAAAAGAGAAATGTTTTGTTGGAAGTGAAAAAAAAAAGAGAGGAAGTGTTTTTGAGAACGGAAAGAGTATTATATATAGCAAATAAATACGAGTATAGTTTTTCTACAATTTATTATTAAAATGTGTCCGTGTTTGCTAAAAAATTAAAAAATGAAGATTCTTTGGAATAAAGCTGAGGGAGGATTACGAAGTGATACTCCGTAATTGAGTACGATGACCATTAGCTGAACTAGCCTTTTTCCGGTCACCTCCAAGTACCCCAATTTTTCTCGCAAATTGCGTGTAAAGTCCTCATGTAGGGTCCATATAACATTCAAGAGTCTCTTCAAGGTGAGAACTCATATGTTTCACTTTTCTGTGCTATTCCCTTTTCTTCTTTTTCTTTTCTATTCTCTTTCTCTCCATCCTAAAATGATTTTTAGAGTTTGATAACAAATGAAGTTTGATTATACTCTGTAATTATTTTTAATTTAATTTATTAGTTTTTTCCGGAGTACATTCTAGATGCAAAATAAAAAAATTAATATTATACATTTTAAAATTACATAAATAAATTTACAAAACAAAATGTTACATGAATATATTATTTTATAAAATAACTAATGAAAATAGATAAAGAAAATCATTAAAGTTTGACTAAATGAATTGTGAATGAGAAGATCATTTTAGTACGAAGGGAGTAATTTGGCATTTTAGCTTTTTTTTCTCTTTCATCTACTTTCCTTTCAATCCTTTTTCTCTTTTTAATTTTTAATATTATTTTTAATCTTTATTTGAATTAAAATAACAAAACAAAAAGTATAAATACAAAAATACTAAACTAGGAGCTTTTTTAAAAAGAAAAATTATTCAAAGTAATTCCAACTTTAATCGTTCTTTTAAAAATAATCTCATCTTTCGCAGTCATGCATAATAATTCCAACCTTACTGAAATTTGTGAATTTGGGGTCGCAATTAATTTACTAACGACGAGTTAATGGAAACGGCTTACTTTGCGCAACAAAATGAAAGTTGTGATTATTTATGATGAATTTTTGTTTTACTTTTTTTTGGAAATTTCAATCACAACTTTCATTTCACTTTATGCGAATGCTGGTGTAAAAAAACTACTTTGAGCATGTTATTTAGGGCTTGAACTTTTAATTTCCAGTTTTTTCAGTTCCTTCAAGTTTCTTCCATTTCCTTCCAGTTCCTTCCAGTTCCTTCCAGTTTTTCCAACTATTATCATTTTCTTCAAACTCTTTCTACTCCTCAACCAATTACTCTAAAAACGATATATTTTAATGTAATTATTATTATTATTATTATTATTATTATTATTATTATACAACTGTTATGTTCGTAATTATAGTTTATAAATTATTTTTTCATCTCACTATTTTTACGATTAACACTCATTATTTTTTTTCTTCAACTTTTTAATATGAATAAGAATTTTTTTTTATTAGTCTACGTGATAAAACAGGAAAACATCAATATGTTAAATTATATTAACAAAATTATGGATAAAATAGTGAAATTGAATTTTTTATTAATCTAACTTTATATAATTTATATAAGATCTCTCACATTTCCCTTTATTACTTAAAATTTGCTCATTAGAAAAAAAGACTAAAATAGGAGTAAAACATAAAAAATGTAAAAAAAATATTCTATGTCTTTATTCCAAAAATAGGACTTCAATGAAAAATAAAATGTCAATTATGAAAAATAATAGTTTGATTACATTATGTGACATGTCTGATATTTAAAACAAAATCTTGTACTCCCTCCGTTTGCAAAAAGACTTTACATTTTGATTTGGGACAAAAATAAGGAAGTGTTAAATTAGAGTTGATTTCCAACTTTGTCCCTGATGTGATGGGTAAAAGTAAGATGTGATGGATATATTATTAGAAAAAAAGTATGATGTGATAGGTAGGGTATGAAAAAGTAAGGGTAAAAGTGGTTTTTTAATAGAAAGGGGAAGTGTTTTGTTGGAAGTGGAATAAATGAAAGAAGAAGTGTTTTTAGAACAGAGGGAGTAATATATAAAGTATACTTACAAATATATTATTTATAATAAATACTACATAAATAAATTGGGGTGCAATATAACCACGAGCAATATAACCTTTTTTTGTATAATAATAATAATAATAATTTATAACAACAAGAATTTAAAATAAATGTTTTTAAAGCTTTTTTAGGTTTTCCTATTTTTTGAAGTTTTCTAGTTTCCTCCAGTTTCTTCCAGTTCTTTCTAGTTTTTCCAATATCTTCTAGTTCTTTTCTGTTTCTTCCAGTTTCTTTTAGTTTCTTTCATTTTTTCAGTTCCTTCCAGTTTTTGTCAGTTTCTTCAAACATCCAGCTCCTTTTTTCAGTCATAAAGAACATGCCCTTTGTGGAAGAAGAAGCATTTTGTGGAAAGGCCATCGCAGCCGAGATATATATGTTCCTCTCCCTTCTAGCTCCCTTTCCTTGCCCTCCCCCTCCAGCTCCGATTCCTCCCCTCACCCTCTCCAATTCATCCACCCCCGTTGCGATTCTCCCCTGCCACTCCAGCTAGGGGTGGACACAGTACGGTTCCGGTACCGCCACCCCGAGTAACCGGAAAGTATACCGTGCCGGCCGGTACCGGTTCCGGTTCCCGGACCGGCGGTTTCGGTACCGGACCGGCCGGTTTCGCCCCCCCCCCTTTTTTTTTTTAATTTTTAAATTATAAAAATATAAAATTGTAAATTTGCAAATTGCAATTGTTTAAGGAAAGAATGAAATAAAAAATCTAAAAATGTAGTTGTTATTTAAATATTGAAAATGAGTAATACACTAACTGAAGAACAACCACATTTAATATCCTGACGGTTCAAAAAAAGCGACGAGGTAAAGAACCGTAAAGAAACCTTCGAAGGAGCTTATATATCGCTCACCTAATAAGTCTAGGAATAGCAGCAGTATTATTAGTAGCATTACCAAAACCAAATGAAAAAACTTTTTCAGATAAGTTATATTCCCGCAGAATACTCTGAAGCAATAGGAAAATATTTTCAGCAGTATGCTGATCATTGAAATCACGAAATGCAAGAACACATTTATGCATAATCCAATCACTATCTATCCAATGACAAGTAACACCCATATAAGACAAATTATGATAAGTTTCACTCCAAATATCAGAACAAATAGCAACACGAGAATTAAAATTGAGAAAAAAATTTGCCAAATTAATTTTTTCCATTTTATACTGGCGAACAATTTCTCGTTTAATTGTTTTTCTTGAAAAACCTCGTGCTTGAGGGTTTAATGCCTGTTGACAATAATCAATAAAACCAAGTTTTTCAGAAAACATGTATGGCAAATTTTCTTCACAAATCATTTCGGCCATTTTTTGCCTATTTTGCTCGTCGCTATAAGCAAAAAGGCCGCCCTTACCTCTGTTAGCAAACCGAGAAATTTGGGTTTGCACTTCTTGTCGTCCCTTTTTTTTGGCCTCGTATTTGGCGTACTCCACGGGATGCCTCGACCTTAGGTGTTTTTCNAAAAAAAATACCGGTACCGGAACCGGACCGGTACCGCCGGTACCCGTACCAAAAAATAGGTACGTGAACCGGTACCGAAAGTGGCGGTACCGGTACCGGTTCCCGGAAACCGTGACACGGGGACCTTGCCAGTGACGGTGGCGGGTACCGGCGGTACCGTTGCCGGTGACGGTACCGGCGGTACCGTTGCCGGTGACGGTACCGTACCGGTACCGTACCGGTACCGTGTCCACCCCTAACTCCAGCTGCGATTCCCCCCTCTCACTCTTTGTTCAATTTCTACCTCTCCAATTCCTTCCCAACACTTTTTCACACCACTTCCGTTGTGATCCCCCCTCCCATTCAAACAAGAACAAAGGGAATTCCATTTCCTTTCATATACTGAATCCAATAGTCAGGAGTAATCATTCCCTCCCCCAATTCTCTTTCCTGTTTCCTTTTCCTTTCCTCAGCACAAACCAAACACTCCTCTAAAAGGAAAGAGAAAAGCATCGAAAATAGGAAAAAGGGAAAGGAAGAAAAGCAACCAAAATGAAAGGGAAGAAAAGCAACCAAAATGAACTTAAGGTTTATTAGCTACTAGAAAGAATACTTTACATATTCTAGCTAAGGCTGGAGGACAGATTTGGACTTTAAAGTTTAAAGTAGTTTATTTCTTTCTTAGGGTATATAACAATATATATATATATATACCAGCATTTATGGAATAATAACCGTCTTTCATTGCTTGACAGATACAACTTGGTAAGCATCGGACCGTTGGTTCCGCCGGCGTTCCTAGACGAAGACGACCCAACGGACACCGCCTTCCGGGGTGATCTGTTCGAGAACGGGGGCGACGACGACATCAATCGCTGGCTGAGAACGCAGCCGGAGTCGTCGGTGGTGTACATCTCATTCGGGAGCATCCTAAACCCATCCAAACCCCAAAAGGAAGAGATAGCCAGAGCACTTCTGGAGACCAAACGGCCCTTCTTGTGGGTCATAAGGAAGAAACTCGAAAACGAAGCCGCCGGAGAAGAGGACGGGGAGCTGAGCCGCAGGGAGGAGCTGGAGAAACAGGGGATGATTGTGGGGTGGTGCGCCCAGACGGAGGTGCTCAAGCACCCCTCCGTCGGGTGCTTCGTGACACACTGCGGGTGGAATTCGACGCTCGAGAGCATATGCTCCGGCGTGCCCGTGGTGGCGTTCCCTCACTGGACCGACCAGGGGACCAACGCCAAGCTGCTCCAGGATGTTTGGAGGACAGGGGTGCGCGTGGCGGCGCCGGTCAAGAACGAGGACGGGGTCGACGTGGTCGGAAGCGGGGAAATAAAGCGGTGCATCGAGATTGTGACCGGCGACGGGGAGGAGTTGAGAAGGAACGCTAGGAGATGGAGGGATTTGGCTTGGGAAGCTGCCGGGGAAGGTGGATCTTCCGACAAGAATCTCCGGTTATTCGCCGAGAAAGTGGCGGGTCGTATTGAATAAGAAGAATTGGTTTGTCTTTTCAATTTTTTGAGTCAATGGTGACACAATTAATGATAAAAATTGAATGGGAAAATGTTGAAATGCTCTTGACTGTTTGAAGTCATGTTAGTTTTCCTCTCTTTTTTTACTTTGTGTCTATAAGCTTAATATGTGTATGAACAAAAATAAGTCAAAGTAAATTCATGATCACAATTTAACATGACTTGCAAAATAAATGGGGAGTATAACATTCCCCACACTTGTATGATGTATTTATTGATGCTATTAATTAGCATTGCACAAAAAAATTGTTATTGGTAAAAGAAAGTACTCCCAAACTTTTTGCAACACTACTTTTTAAACTTTAAGTGCATGGGCACTACTTTTTAAACTTTAAGTGCATGGGCAGTAGCGTGTCAAAACTATTGTCACGCATGCCAGCTCATCTTTTTACTTGTTTTCCATGGCAAATCATCCCAATTCTCAAGTAGTGGCACGTGCGAGACAATGTTTTCCTTTGTTTTGTTTTTTTTTGGTAAAAGAAAGAATATTTTTTCTTTTATTGAGATTAGAGCCAATGTTTTCCATTTTTAACCCTTGCTTTTTTTCTTTACAATTTATTTTCTTTTTCAAAACAATCAAACCTTTATTTGAGACTAAAAAATATATATTTTAAACATTAATGTTTTATGTGAAATTATATAATTTAAATTAAAAAATTTTAAAATTTAATTTTCTCTTTGTACAATTAAATCTTTACACGAAAATGTAATAATTTATAATAAAAAAGCACGCATGGGCTAACTAAAATATGTCAAAAATGTTAACATTGCCAAAAAAGATTACAATTTTTTTTATTAAAATAAGGTAAGTAAAGTAATTTGTGAAATCAAAATATATTAAAAAGGGTATAAAAAAATGATAAAAATGGTGACTTGCCACTGTAAGACATGTCACTCCACTCATGTAACACACGCTGACTGGACAGATTTTGATTGGCTAAAATACTCCATGTCATCATGTGGCATTCCATTTCTTACTTACCATTGCCCATGCTTTAAATGCAATATTTGTAGAATAATCTTTTATATATTTTTATATAATCATTTTTGCTAATGTGATATTATGCTATCTCTATATTTAGAGAATATCTATATCAACTTAAAGTGTTTTGATCTCTATCCTTAGGACCTGTTCTTTAGAGCTTGAACTCTTAATTTTTAGTTCCTTCTAGTTGTTTCCAGTTTCTCCAGTCCGTTTTTTCTAGTTTTTCATGTTCTTTCTAATTTATTCAAGTTTTTTTCAGTTTCTTCTAATTTTTTCCAACTATATTTATTTTCTTCAAATTCTTTTTACTTTCTGACAAATCACTCTAAAAATATATATATTATTATTATTTTTATTATTACAACTTTTTTTAATTATAACTTTTATGTTTATAACAATAGTTTATAAATTATTTCATTTTATCATCTCACTATTTTTATGATTCACATTCATTATTATTTTTTCTTCAACTTTTTAATTTGAATAATATCGTTTTTTATATATTAATCTACATGAAAAATTAGGAAACTATTTTAAAAATTATGGATAAATAGTTATATAGAATATTTTTTAATCTAAATTTATATAAGGTAAACATCAATATTTTAATCTAAAATATAAAGTATGGAATGTGGTGGGGAGTACTACATTATGGAAACCAAGAGAAAACTACATTTTGAAAACGAAAAAATGACCCAAGAAGTGTAATATTTATGCTAAATTTATATTCTAATTATTTTTTAAGCTAGCTTTTTATATATGAAAAATAATACTCATGATATTTTTTATATTAAAGACAATCATTAAGATAACGTGATAACACCACCACCACCACCATCAACAACAACAACAACAACAATAATAATACTCCCTTCGTCCTATAATGATCTTCCTAGAGCACTATTCTAACTTCACGGGAATTTATATTTATTTGTGTTTTTTCATGGCTTATATGATAAAATAAAATATTCTTGTCACCACTTGTTTTGTTGAACTTTTGGTGTAGTTTTTAAATATGTATGTTTTATTTTTTATTTCTATACCAATATTTAAATAAAATAGATTGAAAAAACTTGGAATTTTTCTTCGTTTTGCAAACCAGGAAGATCATTATAGGACGGAGGGAGTAATAATTTATAACAACAAGAATCAGAATGAGAATAATATAAAACCACACATAAATTTTTTTTAAAACTTTTTTTTAGATTTTTCAATTTTTTCTAGTTTTTTCAGTTTCTTTTAATTTTTTTCAGTTTTTCCAGTTTCTTCTAGTTTTTTCTAGTTTCATATAGTTTTTCGAGTTCTTCCCATTCTTCCAGTTCCTTCCAAATTCTTCCAACATCCAACTATTTTTTTCGAATCATAAAGAACTCGCCAATGTTTTTACTTCATCCCCACCAGCATCATCCAACAACCGCCATTGTTGTCGTCAACCTCCACACATTTTATATGTGTGGAGAATAGCAATTTTAAGTGCGGCAAAAGACGGACTTTCTTGTAGTGCTTCATGCTGGCTCCACCAATGTCTTCACCATCCAAAAAACACCCACTATTTGTCGTTTTTGGTCATCACTAAATTAGAAATTTCATGTTTTTCATGTCTAAAGTAGGAGTTATAATGTCAAGATATAATACAGAAAAATATAGTGAGATGCAACTATAGAGTGCCATAATGCCATAATGTAAACTTAGAATAAAAAAATAAAATTTCTATTTTAATGATAAATATTATATTTTACTTTTATTTTAGTGTGATTTATTTTCTTTAGTTTTTTTGGCTCTTTGTCCATCAATTTACCTTCACCCTCTCCTAAAGAAAGAACGATAATTAAGTCCACATGAACAGCTCAATTGGTCGAGAGTTTGGTTCATAGTGACTCAGTTGGCTAAGAACACTAGACTCGTATCTACCGCACATAAGTAGTTTCATAAACGGTGATGAGACTATTTCTGGCGGTAGATACGAGTCTAGTGGTCTTCATCTATCAACCAAACTCTCTCCACGCCCCACAAATTTCTTCTTCAATCTTCAACCAAACTCACCTTATCCCACTTTCAAAAAAAAAAAAAAAACTCACCTTATCCCTTCTCAGCCGTCTTCCTCTTCCCTGACATTTTTTCTTCTCTCTTCTGCAATGCATCTCCTTCCATCGCCTTCTTCTTCTTCATTCTTCGCCTTCATCTCGCGCACTACCTCTGCCATCTTCAAACCTTCATCATGTCCCCACTGGACAAGAGTAGGAACACCGGATCTCGCCGGAGCTTCTGAATCTGAACAAACCCGGCCGGACGGACGGCCTTATCTTCGTCGGATCTGAAGGATCGCGCCTCATCTACGTCAGATCTGAACAAATCCAAATTTGTCTCTACCCGATCTCCGTTAATTTTGAACGGCGCCGGCCTTACCTCCGTCGGATCTACAACAGTGAGAGCCATCCGCGATGAACAAAAAAATTGGGACGGCTTTGCTGTTGAAACTGGGAGATAAAACAAAAAATTAAACCGACTATCATGGCCGCTTGGTTTTTGCTCCAAATTTATAACAGATTACTGCGGTATTGCCTCTTAAATCTTCTTTCCCTTTGTTGTTTTGTCTTTGGTTGCGTTGATTCTTCTTGATCGATGAATGCAACCAGACCATATATCTGGTGTTTAATTAAGTTCATAACTTCAGATCTTGCATCATCAGGGGAAGATCAGACCGACTTGCTCCATCTCCATCTTGCCTTAGCTTTTGCTGCTTGATCACCTCTTAGTTTCGCATCATGAGGTGAGTCTTAAACTTTAAACCCGATCTCATGTTTTACTATTTAATTCATTTTAATACTCCCTCCATTCCTGTTTTTTTTTATAATTTCCCCCCTTTTCAGTAGAATTTTACCTTTTACTCGTATTCAATTATTCTCGTTAATTTCATTTTTTGCTTTTGCCTTGGAACCTTAAATTTTTACGGTGTCATATTGGAAGGCTCAAAGTCAATCTTGCACCCCATTGCGCAACATTGGAAGTTGCATTCACCATTGGGCAACCTTGCAAAAATATTACTCTCTCCGTCCTATTACGAGGTTTGACTGACTTTATTTTTTCAATTCAATTTATTTGATTGTAGGTGTAAAATTTAAAAATAAAATTTATATAATTTAAAATTACATCAAAAATCCTACAAAACAAGTGGTGACAAGACTATTATTATTACTCCCTCAGGAGCAAGAAAAAAAAGAATTTTGTTTGACTTTTTTGTCAAAGTTTGTAAACTTTGATCTCGATATAAAAATAAAAAAAATATATTGTGTTTCGAATTTTTCGATTTAAAGTAATATCATTAATTTTGGAATATTAAAGTGATATAATATATATTCATGTATAAATCTAAATATTATTGATCAAAGTACTCCGTATCATATTAGTGACATTGAAATGTCAAATGAAAATCATTTCCAGACAGAGAGAGTATAAGAAAAAAACCTATAAAAACTCCACATTACACTCTACTTTTAACTTCAATTTTTCACAGACATTATTATAGACATAGAACAATGTTTAGTGTGTGATGTTTATGAAGACATTAGGGTCAAAAGTGGGGTGTAAGGTGATGTTCCTCTACCATGGCTCTAAATATAATTTTGGATAAATAAAACAACAACAACAACAACCCAGTTAAATCCCACAAGAGTAGGGTGTGGGAGGGTGTGTGTACGCAGACCTTGCCCCTACTCGAAAGTAGAGAGGCTGTTTCGAAAGAGACCCCCAACTCAACGTCGAAACTTGCATTGCTTGACTAACTGCTACTTCATTAATTAAAGAAGCGTACACAGTTTAGAGATCCATTTTGATTTATTCCATCACACCCCAAAGCCAAAAAATGGTGAAATTTTGGCTCCACCGGAGATGATGGAAATAAATAAAAGTTTGAAAATTTTGATATATCAAAAGCACATATTAAAATTAACTAGATTATATGAAATACTCCGTATATATTATAACTAAATATGCTTTCTTTATTTTTAGTTAAATTTTGCGAAAATTTAACAAAAAAAGTCATTGGAATTTTTTTTGGATGGGAGGTATCAACAAATTTTAGGGAAAAGTTTACATTTACAATTCTATTTCTAGTATTTTACTCTGTATTATTTTTTTGTTGCTATATCCTTGCAATACTCGAATCGT